AAAGTTTTGCGCATCTCGACCCGAAAAGACCCGAACGCTTTTGGCTCTATTTGCGAAAAATTCCAAATTCGCACCAGTATAGTATAGTCGAACGGGAGCAGCAGCAGCAACAGCAGAGGCAGCGATCTCGTTTATGTACACACAAACAGTGCAGAGAGCAGGGCAGACATAAGCAAAGACGGCTTTCAGCCACCCACACCCTCGTTTTCTGCAGTACACACACACACACACATACACGTGTACATGTATAAGACACACTTGGAGCCGGGCAGGCGGTATATACGTATAAAAATGCAGCTGCCTCGGCAAAAACGTGTCCCAAGGTCCAAAACAGTCTCTCTCTCTCTATACACGAGCTTTTTGCTAAAGGTAGCGACTTTGCCAGGGTACGGAGCTGGAAGTATACCGTAGCACAGTACGGCTGCTGCTCCCTCGCACCCTCGTACATATAGGCAGCAGCCCCCGACGCGCTTGTTAAGAGCATAAAGGCCGCACAAGCTCCGCGCACATATAGCTCGTACATGTACGTCGTCAGCAGATACAGTCTTATCGTCGCGAGCGAGGCCCGTTATGCGCCAGCCTGTAAGCGCTCCACGGGATAGGATACTTTGGCGAGATGCGACTGCGTTATTACGACGATGATTATTTCTACTGCTGCTGCTGCTATGGTGTCCGGTCGCGTCCGTGCGTGTGTCCTGTGTATTAACATAGAGCTATAGCTCCTAAACGAGTCGGGACGAATCTTGGGCGCATTTGCCGTTCGAGCTGCAGATACGCTTGGGCCACTTTTCCGCAGCCACCTCGCACCGCCGAGCATTTCCCGGCGCGTTTACCTCGTACCGCCGAGACGTACACTCGGAGCTATGCGCATCTTCTTGCCTTTTGTGTACGTTCTTTTCTATCGCTCTTGCTCTCTCTCCCTCTCGCTTTAACGCGCTTCGGAAAAAACGAATCGAGTGGATGCTCGAGCGGCGAGAAACATCGATACAGACTAATGCATTATGGCCGCGTGTATTCAGCCATCGAATGTGGCGAGCATTCAAATATTCCGAGAATGATCTTGGCGTACGAATATGAATACGACGCGGTGAAAATATTATTATGATTCAACGATGCCGCGTATAATAGCTGCGTGTAACACTTGGATTTTCACGAGCCAACACCTCCAGCGTAAATCGGTGATTATGTGAGAACGAGTGCAGCGAGCCGAGATTCGGCCCCATCTTTCCTTTCTTTTCTCTTTCTATATTCTTTACATTTTTAATGGGATTTAATCCTCCCTCGAAGAGGCGGAAGTGTCAGAAGCATACGCACGCGCGAGTCTATATAGTAGCAGCTCGCACTGCACGCGCAGACAATGACTGTTGAAACTCGCAGCGGGCCCATTATGTGGCAATGATCGTTTCTTTGTATGGGAATCCATCAAAATCTCTTCATCAATTCATATACATTGAGCTATTTCTTTTTCGAGCCGCTACTCGACTACTCGGATTTTTTCTCTTCGACATTTGAATGTCGGAAAAAATTTTAAACCTTCGATTTTCGAATTATTTTGATCATGAGAATCCTAGCGTTCACAAACGTAATATGCGTAATAACGCGTGAGCGATCGAGCACAGAGCTCCTGGCTTTGATCGCACTTGGCTTCAGCTGGCACGTACCAATGGAAAAAAGTCTATGCAGAGAATCGCGATTTCGAATGTAGCGCAACGACGAAGCAAAAAAAACTGCAAACAGCTGAGAAAAGGGTCGCCGCCACGTTATAGAGACACTCAGACACGCAGACGGGGGTCAACTTGGAGACTCTGCGAAACGTAAGCGGCAAAGGACACGCTCGGCCAAGTCATCGACGTGTCTTCCTTCCTACTCGTTGCGCGAGTCAAAGCGGGACAAATGTCCTCGGCCTCGGCAGCACTATCGGAGCGACATCTAAATTGCGCACATCGGCGCGCGGCTCAAGGGATTCCTATCCCAGTGATATGTGGCTCGCTGCCTGGGAACTCGATGTATCAATTGACCGATGCAGCCGTAGCTTACACACACGTGTATATCTTTATATGTGTGTGTTGGTAGAAATTGGGAATAGTTCACACCCCGCTCGATCATGATGCGCGCGAGCGAACACGAGAGCGAAAAGGGACTGCGAAGGAGCTAAAAAGACCAACTGCTGCGGTGGCGGCGATCGGACTCGAGCTGCGAGCGCACGACAAACAAAGACACGAATGCCAACGAGATTATCTCGAACGATTAAACGGCCGCTTCCCTTTCTAACTTGACTAACTCGTTCCTCGACGAGCACCAAGAGAAGAGAGAGAACTGATCGGCGGATTAGAAGCTGTGTATGACACAGCCACGTGTGTGTATAGAGGCGAATTTAGGTACATAGCAGCAAGACGAAAAACACGCTGCAAATTACAGATTGACCCGATCGAGCAGCTCTCTCTCTCTCTCTCTCTCTCTGCGCGACTATGACATCTAATTCTTTTTTCCTCGGCTCCGCTACCGTGACAATATAAATAATTAACGCGCCTCGAGCTACGTCGAGCGTCGTCGCCTCTTATTATACGGTCGCAATAAAAAAGCCGAGTTTACGATATCCGCGGACGAGCGACGCGCGGCCAATCGATCTATTTTAAGCTTTTCGCCCGTATTCGCCCGTATATTAGACGCGCGCTCGTGTCGACTACGTTATGCTGCTCTGCTCGCGCAGGATGAGGGCTCTGACGGATCGATAATGTTTTGGATTTTGACAGGAGCCGCCGCAAGGCGAGTTTATTTTGCGTCCGATGGCCCAGCGTCATCGCTTACATATTTATGTGTATAGGCTTTATCGAAGCTTGCGGCCCGCTCGCGAACACAGCGCGTCGAATAAAATGGAGAAAAGACGAGAGAGATCGCGCGAATTAAAGCGCTTTTCGTCAGTGTAGCAGCGGAGTTGGCGCGAGCACACTTAGGGGCGCGCAGCTACATGATACGTAATACGCGTGATTTATTGAGCTGGCGTCGTCGGGTCGCGCTTATATTGCCGTCGCTATATAGCGTAGCAGCAGCAGCCGTAAAAGCCTCTTTACAATGCCATTTGAAAATTCGTAGCTCGCCACCGGCACCGCCACGGCTGAATCGTAAGCCCGGCCCGGCTAAAATACGATTACATCGCTTTGTTTCGAATTCGCGCGAATATAAAATGAACCTGCCAGCCATATAACGTATAGACTGTGGGATGCGCGCACGTATGCTCCAACACACGCACACAACACACCACGCCGGTAGCGTGCTGCTTATATTTCCAGTTGGAGCTTTCGCGATCTGCCTCGTGCCTCGAATATTAGCGAGTGAATTTACGCAATAAGCGACTGACGAATATGGTAGGTGCATTGTATTTGGGCGCCCTTCGACGCTTCAACCTCTTCGGTTCCCTTGCATTTTTTAATATTTCCCTAAGTACATTGTTTAAAATTTGTATCCCTTGAATTTATATTCGTTACAGTTGCTAATTATCACATATAATATTGTATGCACTACCTGTGATATGTACAGAAATAATTGAATTGCAATGCGATAACTTGGATAAATAATAATCCATCGCGAGAGAACGAGAAATACCCTGCGATCGCGATGATTATTTTGAATTCTCTCTCGCGCGAACTCGCCGATCGGATTAAATGAAATTATTGATAAAAGATTGCCGCGCGCGCCACAGCGATGGCAACAATGGAGGAGAAAATATTGTTTGCCCGCGCGCCACGTACAAGCTTTCAAAGCATTACATTATATTACTGTTGAATTCGGGAATTTTAACAATTTTAACGAGTTTAGTCGTAGCTCCTGAGCGCGCGCGCGCGCTGAGTGCTCTTATATACCTGTAGCCGCGAGCTCGCAGTTTCGCGCATTGAATAAATTATAATCCGCAGCCCCAAAAAGTAGGTAAACGATAAATCAAATTGGGAGATTTTATTTTAGCATCGAGTGGATCGAAGCTTTTATATTCGAGACTCGAGAGTATCAATGCGCCAAAGTGCGCGCGATTTTATGTGCGCGAGCACGTGTGTGTATGTGTGTACGCGCGCAAGTTTGCGGCAGCATGGGAGCTGATAGTAAAAAGTTTGCTCGCGTGACCCCGCAAGCTCGAGGCGCTGGATTTTTTATCGTCGTCGTCCCCCGCGTCGCGTTCGTCATCGTATACATGGCACGCGTACACGTAATATACCGAGTAGCAGTAACCGCGGTTGAAGTGCAACGAGAGCGCGCGGGAACGAGAAAAGGCGTATCAATCAAGGCGAGTATAGCTAAACGAGGAGCTATCAAGTGGCGCTCGATGGCTGCTCAATGGGTCAGACTGGTATGGACGATAGGTCGCGGTCGAAGCGAGGCAGCTTGGAAACGCGCGAGAAAAGGCGTATCGGGACGAGTACTACGCAGGGCCGCACAAATGGTCTACACGGTACTCAGCACGCGTACGAGGTACGGAAGTAGGCGCAGTAACTAAGCTGCGCGACTATATCCACTCTTCTAGACGGCAGTACCTATACACCGGTAAGATTCATCATTACGCGGAGTGCGCGTATAATATATATAATATACTGGCAGACGAAGGAGCCGGCGAGAAAGCGCGGGGAGAGAGCCATCAGGCACGAGGCAAGAATCGCAGGAAAAGCGCGGCTAATGCAGCAGCAGCCACGGCGCTCGTATAAAGTGCCTCCTGTATATATACGAGTATACGGAACGAGGGGGTTGATGAGTGGCTCGAGTGGAGCGAGGCACTGAGCAGCAGCAGCGGCCAGCGACTGTGTACAAGCGAGGAGTAGCATAGTGAGTAGTGCGCGCGCCGCACCAGCACTACGTACGTACGTATGTATACTAACATCTCGCAGCAGCTCGTCCGCTGCGGAGTGCGGACTGCGTCTGGCTCCGTGAGTGAGTCGGTGAGTCGCGCCACCACCACCACCACCAACGCCGCCGCCGCCGTTGCTGCCTGCCGCCCGACGACGCACCGACACACGCGCGAGAGGGCTGAATTCGCAGCTCGCGCCACTTCCTTCGCTGGCTAAGCTGGCATTCCCGCGGCGCACCTCGAGCCAAGCACGTCTACGTCGTCGTCGTACGCGCGTATTTTTCTCGACTCCGCGTCCCGCGATATCCCGCACTGCGCTTTAGCACTGCAGTTCGCTCGCAACGTTTCGCACGTGTTTTTCCCGCGTGTTACTACCCCGCCACGCTCTCGAACTCGAATTTCGAACTTGATCCCGACCGTTGGACTCTCTCTCTCTCTCTCTCGCTTCGATGCTGTGAACTGTGAACTGTGTGACAAGTGCAAGTGTTGTTGTTGTTGTTGTTTTGTCCATTGGTCGACTCTGTCAAACTCTGACCAGTACCAATTTACTCGAGTGTTTATTATAGTGCTTCGTGATTACATATTCGCTCTGTATTATTGCAGTTTACAAGTGTTTTCGAAACAATACCGAGTCGGAATAATCAACGAGTAATTCCCGCTGAAATTGTGGATTCAACTGTCATGTGGATGCTGTCGATCCTTGAAAGTACCGCTCGTGTAAGTAAATACGTATATCTCTATATAGTAGCAAATCATAAAATCACGACATTTACAAGTCCGCATAGTGGCAGAGAGCAAGAATAGATGCGCTCGGTCTTTCTTGCTATATACCTTTTTTACGCAGCTCGGCCAATGTATTGAAGCGCTTTTTTACGAGCGCATCGTGGCGCCAGACTACTGCTACTACTACTAGCTTCTATGTGTACGCTCACCATGCTGTATTATCTATTATGTTTTGGCGCGTGCATTCGCCGAAACAGCCGGCTAGCAGTAGCCGCGATTCGCCTCGTGCACAGCAGCTCCAGCACACTTTTCCCGAAATCCGGAGTTGAGGCGCGCAGATGCGTTTTGACCCACATCGGGATCCGTGAATGCGTGTTCGATGATTTTTTACGAGCTCGGCCCGTAAATTCGGCCCATGAATTCGTCGAGATTTTTGTTTGTACAGATACACATATGCGCTTACATTGTGCCCATATATACCTGCTGTTATATTGTACTACATGCCTCCGTACCCAGTTGCCGAGCGCATAACATATATGCCGAGTCGGATGCGGAGTTGGCTGCAAGAGGGACTCTCAACTCTCCGCCGCTCATTGTGTATTGCTTGGAACACATTTTTAATATCGGGGTACTGCGCATCTCTCGAGGCGTATATGCCGAAAGAAACCGTTTATTTGCTCATTAACGATTTTTCCGCGCTTCATCGAAAAAACGAGCCTACCAGCATGAAAAAAATGAACCATTTTCTTTCTTTCTTTCTTTCTTTTTTTCGCGTGCGCTCTAAAAATATACATGAGAATGTAGTTCGCTCGACTCTTTTCGCGCGAAATGATTCAATTAATTTCAATGCAAACAAGAGGCAAAAGTAACGACAAGCGCCACACAATCGGATTAATCAACTTCGTTGCGTGACTTTCGAAATTCAATGAACATTTGAAATATAATCAAGCTACTGCAATTCGATTGAGATCGGCTCTCTCTCGCGCGCGCGCGAACAGGCTTCGCGCAGGGTTTTGCGCTGCACACATTATACTTCCAATTGCATAACTCAGCTTTTCCAACTCTGACTTCTCGCGCGTTGTTTTTGTCGTTTACCACAGTAAATAATAATAAATAATAATGTATCTTTGTTGCGCTCAGCGGTGTCAGGGGGGAGGCGCAGCGCTCGAATCGCGCAAAAATCAATCGGCCGTTTATTAACATTGCATAAACTGCCGATCACGTGTCAATAATAATGCACGCGCCAACTCATTGCACGATATTTATTATGAATCCGCGAGCGAACGCACAAACCGCAATCGAGCCGTATACGGTGCGTTGCGTGGAAGCTTCATACGCCGCTATAGTTTTCTATCGAGCGCTATGAGCGCGAACGAGATCAAAGGCAAAGAGAAACTGCCTGTAATCTATAGTCGCTTATGTAGCTGTCCCTTCGGTAGACAGCGGAAGTATTCGCACGCGCGAGTTGGTGACCAATGCCGACGCTTCTATATGACTACATGTGTGTAAGTGTGTGTATGTGTGCGTGAGACTTGGACGCCCAGCTCGGTCGTACACATCTATCTTTGCAAACTCGGTTGCAGCAGCGGTAGGCCTGCCTCGCGCTCTACCTTTGTGTCTGTTTTCTTCTCTTAAATCTTTTATAGGTTTGTGCAGCGCGCTGACTGCTGTCCGCCCACGACACGGTGGCATCTTGCTCGACACCTTCTCCCGCCACTCGTCGTCGCGGTAGTTTTGCTGTCCCGCTGCACGAACGCACCTCTCTCCCTCTTCTTCTATGTGTTTGCAGCATTTATCGCTTCATCGTTTTCGCTTCGTTTCTTTGCTCCGCGCGCCTCGTCGCTGCTCTCGTCCCTTCTTGCAGATCGCTCCGTCTATGTACGATAACCACGCCTGACCTCTCAAAGGGACAATTTTTACTCGACTAAAGCGACGAGTCTCAAATGGATTGGATTCTTCTCTCGACTATTTCGGTTTTTTCCGCAATCGACTCACTCGCTCTCTTTCTCTGTACACGTCTCGTTCACGCTTGTCACTCATATACATTTAAGCGATCACTCGTCCCACACTCTCGTCCCCACATTTTGATCTTGAAAATTCCGAGCGTTTCGAACAATACTGACACGCGGATAATCGAGTAACAAACTTATTCGGCTTTCACGCACGATCCTTTCCATATACATACTCGCCTCGCTTTAATCCTACATTTTTAATCAACTTTTCCGAGAAAATAATAGTTTCGAGGCTCCTTGCGACCGTTACGATGGCCATGAGATAATACTGCAATTTTCTTTTTAAATATCCGACCGGCAAAAATTTCATATCTCCCTGCAGTTGTGAATGGATTTGAGCTCGAGCCATAATTTTTTGCCGCCATCGCTGGTCCGAATGAACCGTACCAATAGAGAGCTAAAAAGATACGTTTATCGAGCGAAACTTGATTTTCCGAATGATCTAAACTGCATTTCATATACCGTATCCAAGTTTCTTTTTTTCGAAACAAAAGCTGGCATGCTTTAACGCGGACAGCTTATTCGCACATATATATGTACTTCGAAAGAATAAAAGTCGAGAGATAACATTCGATGATTCAATTTTTAACGTTTAACACCGAGAACAATGCAGACGCTTCGCTACACGGACAGTGAAAAATTGACGCTAAAGTATTTACTCTTTCCTGAAATTAAATTTAAAATTTGATATGAAAATACCTTCTAATCTGATTATTGTTGAAGACTTGGATGTAAATAGGAAATAAAGCGTAATATTATTAGTTTATTCGTACCAAGAAAATTTAAAAAGTTTACAATCATCGATTGATACTTTAATTGAATAATGGCAGAGCTGAAAAAGTCGAAATTGCATCAAGTTATAATTCGAGTTGTAATTATAAGTTTACTGCATCGATATATAACAGGCAAAGAGGTAAATGATCACTTTCGTGCCACCAAAGGTATAAAATGCGTATGTATAAGTAACTGAAACATTAGCAGCAGTATAAGCTATGATAGCTGCTGCAGCATTATAAAAGTCACATTAGCCGAACAAAAAGCTTTACAAATTGAGTAGCAGTCGTCGGGCCGATGGGGGGGCTAAGATAAAAAGCCATCGTCGTCGCAAGGATCGTCGACGTTGACATGCAACAGAGAAGAGTGAATAGGTGCCGGAGAACAATCGTCGAGGCGTCGAGTGCGAAAATCATTAATGCACGGGTCGCATGTGCCGGAGTAGTTGGAGCGAGCTCGACTGCACGCGATACTACACGCCGAGGCAGCAGCAGCTTATCGCGAGCTCGTGCCGCGCGCAGTGCAGCAGCGATTCCGAAGCAGCTTACACTGCTCTCTGTAGCGCCGCTAACAGCGAGCAACATAGTTAATATTAATTTCGGCCTCGCGTCTCGAATATACACACAGCCGAGCTCGAGATGCATCGAGTTGCGAGCTTTAATCGTCTGCCTATACGGAGTTGAAACGAAGCAGTCGCGCCGGTGAAAGAACGCGGGGCTGCTCTTCTTTGCAGCTTCGAAGAGCTCGCGTTGATGCGGATCAATTAGCGTCGATCGTGTATAGCGATTGAATCGATCTATATACTCGAGCTAGCCGATTCCCCCCCTCCACACTGGGCTGCCACTGACGGCGATTGCGTACGCGCGCGTGCCAAACGTCATCGGCGGCACGCGTCGCTGGTCCAGTCGTGATGCTATGTAGGATGACGCTCTCCGCATTCCCGGCGTGTTTGTAAAGCGCGCTCGAGTCTCCGATCGCTTGATATAGACCCTTATGTAGTTTGCTGTACAAGGGTTGGACATGCGAGCGATTAGTCTGATCGACGGCTAATCGCCGGAAGAAGATATTAATTGCACTCGAGGTACGATCTCGTTGTTCTTCTTGAATTCAAAGAGACGAAATTATCTGCATCAGTAACGTATGACAACAATCACTCCTCTCATAAATCCGTATTCATTTGGTATTTATACACTGCTAACCTGTCTACTTTGTCTGGTTTTTTCTTCCTACAGTTATAACAAGCAAGAATAATAATTGAAAATCTTGAGCAAGTCTGGTACTCTATGCAAACGAGTAGCTCCCGTTGCTTTTGATATTTTTTGCCATAATAAAATTCTGTGGTGGAAAGGGCTAACGAGATAACTCCATTTTTTTCGAAATCGAGTTTATGATATGAATTACCTATATGTTATGTCTACTTTAAGGTACGAGTGTCACAAAAGCTGAAAAGAGCACCTATCGTTCAATATAACACCGTGCCAAACGAGATAAGTCCACCTTTGCGAGCTCCAAAATACGATTAAGAGTCTGGATTGATTTGAAAATGGAAGAAAATGATATTCCAACATACAAATGGCTCTCACACTCTTCGAATGTTGTGAATTTCACTATACGATTGATACATTTGATACACGAGGGGCCATTTTCGCGATTTTCAGTATGGCCTTTTTTCGTTGCAAGATTTGAGATCTGACACCAGTATAACGTTAAATGAGCTATTTTATCAATGTAAAATCATTACATGAGGTTTTGATCACAAATTAAGCGAAATTATCGATATTGAAAAAAGTGTGACCGCTAAAAGTGGACTTATCTGCTAAGCGGGGAAAGGGCTAACGAGATAAGTCCATATTTTTTGCTCCGTATCAACACTATGATGCGCCTTTCATTTTCACAAGTACATAGTTCAAAAGATACCTCATAATAGGTAAAAATATCATAGGCACAGATCTTTAGTCGTCTGCGTCTAGCTAGGCCTTCATGCGCAACTTAAGACGCGTTATTCTCGAAAACACGAAAAATGGAGTTATCTCGTTAGACCTTTCCACCACAGAAATAAATTCACTCGTCTTCGATTTCTTGATTTTAAAGTAGAATTAACGAAACTCGATTAAACGATTTTAATCCCAATCTTGTTCTTACCGCTGCTCATATAATTTAAAAAGATACCAAATTCAAGGTAAATTGTAAATGTTTAACAGAGCTTTT